AATCCGGTCAAAAATATTAAATTTCTTGATTAATCACCAAAATGAGTTCATGAAAATGGTTTGGTGTACCATGATCCTGTTACATCCAGTATACAGGGTGACATAGAAAGAAGTACATTGCATAGTGCCACACAATGGAGGACACTAAAATAAGGAAAAAAGTTCCTATGAACATGGGTTCGCAAAGCCTTCGGTTAAAAGATACGGGGTGTTGAATTTTAATGGAAAAATGTAGAAGTACAAGGGCAACAATTTGAACATCTTCTAAAAACTTAATGTTTTGTTCTCATATTTTTCATCATACCATTAAAATGTAATTGTTGAAGTAATTATCATTGTTTTTGCAAAAGTTACTTTGGCGCTTTTTTAATAATTTGCGTGCATTGTCGGCTTTTAGATGCATTTGTACTGGAACCATTGCTTCTAGCAACTTGGACAAGGTATACCTTTCTTGAGTACCTATAAAAGAAGGGATAACAATTTTTTTCCGTCGAAAATGTAATACAGTGTAGCAAAAAAGCTACGACCGATTCAATAGGGATGGAACCCTGTATGTAGCGCCCTCTATCAGTCATCACAAAACTAAGATCATATATGAATTTAGCATGATAAAAAATCCCTGTATACCACATTTTATCCATTTCTTGCGTCTCTGGCTATAGATATTCAAAGAAAACCCAAAAAAATTCAAATTTAACCGAAGGCCTTGCGGACCCATGTTCATAGGAACTTTTTTTCTTATTTTAGTATCCTCTATTGTGTGGCACTATGCAATGTACTTTTTTCTATGTCACCCTGTATATGCACTGTTGATGAATTTTGTTGTGCTAGTTCCGAAAAATAAGCCAATAACACTGTATCCGAGAAAGAACTGCAAGTCCTTTTTATCTTCCATTCCACTTCACCTGAACATACACTAAGTTTGCAATTTTTCAGAATCAAATCACAGAATTAGACATAGATATTTGATTACTCCAAAAGAAGGTTGAAGATGTCTGCAAAAATATACCTGGAAGGCAGGTGTAAATCCTGTTAAAAACTTCAAATTTCGCGTCGAAAATTTTCTGATTTTAATATATCTTCTCAATATCGATTCGTCTTTTTTCCAGTCAGAAAAAAATTTGGTATTATAAGCGGGAGAAATATTAGATTTTAGTTCACCTCGAGCTAAAATCTTCTACTTTTTCCTTGTTCAATAAATAACTTTATGCATCAAGGGCGTAAAATAGGCTTTTATGGACCGTAACATGTAAGTGAGAGCCCTAGCGATAATAATCCACAAAATAAACATGAAATATCACTTTATGAAGGATTTGTTTTTGACAGAGTCAATTATAATTGATTATTCATCATAAAACAGTATCAACTATTGGAATAATAATTGATAGTAATTTTTGAACAATTACCTCCACCATAAATTCCCGAAGATGTTCCATCGAGTGTTCCGTGTTGATGCTGATCAGAAACGTTAGATATTTCCTGAAGAATTGATTTCACAATATTTTCAGGTATTTTAATTTGTTTGGAAGAAGATTGACAATTTCTTATTCTGTTAGAAATCTCAATTTTGTAAATTCACATTCACAGTTGTACAAAAAATGTTGTTTGTATTTCGTGTATAAAATTCGTGCTTTCATGGCACATTCGAGAGAATTTAACACTCTCATGTGTTATTAAAGAAACACTCATTTTACGCACTTGATACAAAAATAACTAATTGATGTGCCAACGTACATTAAGTAATAACATTCATATGTATAATAAAATTAGTCGAAGTACTGGTGAACTATGGTGTCGCTCTAGATGAAAAGAAAATACGGCCAAGGAATTCATATCTTCTGGCTAGAAAAAAATTTGTCAGTGGGACACTGGCACTGAAATAACCGAGGACATAACCTACTCTCTAGATCGCTAATGCTATAAGAGGAAAACTCATCCATTCGCGAGATCAAACTGGAGACCATGAAGTATGCGCATTCAGGATCTGTCACGTTGGAATCCTATCCACATAGGCGTATCGCCGGGAGCAGGATGGACGGATTGAATAAAATATACAGAATAATTCAGATGGAAGCTTCCAATTTCTGAGAATTGAAAACGATAAATCATAAATTACAATTACAATGTGAGATTTATAAATTAATAACATTTCCGCTCCCCGAAAAACGATAGATATGACTTGTCCAACCAATGGATAGAAGCTTGCTGTCGAGATAACATCAATTAAAATAATGGTTGGTATAATATAATTCCACCTATCATTCCAAAATGTTTCCTATCAACATGTATTCTTTATATTACAGCAACTATCTGTTCAAAACATTTCCTACCAAAATAAAAAAGGATGTCATGCCAACTGAATATCTTTCTGTCAATAATGGTTCAACAACCTAAACTTAGAAACGTTGATGAGGAGAACAAATGCAACAAAACTGTTAACCAATTCAAATTACCGCTGTCGAACCGCGACATATGGACGCTGTCAATATTGAGACAAAGGCGGAACATACACTGACCAATTGTTTTACTCGCAGTGACTTCCACAAAAATGCGTGGTAGCCCACCATACTATATTTTCACCATGTCTGTGTCTATATTGGTATAAGTTTAGTAGATAAATGGACGGTAACCAGTGTTGCGGAGAGTGTATCAGTGCACTGTGCAGTGCAACACTGTTTTTGATCTGCCAATAGCAGTGTTGGGATCTCGGTCACCTCTCGCCAGTTGTTGACTTCTTGAGTCTATAAATTCGAGTATTCTGTATAAATCTCATATACAGGGAGAGACGAAGCTATGGTTCACTTTCCTTTTTGTTTTTACTTTCTGGAATTATCGCACATCACGCTTTGACATAGGAATGACTTCCTTCACTTTGGGTTTGTTCGGAAGTGAAATTCATCGTAGCTGAATCGAATATTTTCATACTTGCTTCATATCTTCAGAATAATATATTTTGGAAATCAAAGGTCAGCAGCAGGACACCGGTGGTAGGAAAAATCTCAAAAACAAAAAGTGACCTGATAAGAACATTTTATGTGTGCAGTTGAAGAATTTTATTTATTGAGAAATACAGAATGTAACATTAGTCTACCCGAGGGGTATATCACGGGCCAACTTCGGGTTTACTAGACTCTTTGTCAAGAGAATTTCAGGAATTCCTGGGAATTCCTGGGACTACCCAAAGAATACCCGGAATTCCCAAAGATTACCTGGACTACCCAAGGAATTCCCAGACTTCCCAGGGAATTCCTGGAATTCCCAAAGAATACCCAGACTTCCCAAGGATTTCACGTGTCGGGTACACTGGACTTCTCAAGCGATTTACCCCTCGAGTCTACCTCCCCCTGTATTACAAGAAGCAAGTTCATTTGTGCTTTATTTCTATATTATGTGAAAACTTCTTTCGACAACATTATTTCTTCATCATTCTACTTCACTTCGATGATTATTTTCTGATCGGCAAGTTAATTTTTCAAAGCTGAGTATGTTGAATAATATTTCACAATATGTTTGTGTTCCGACTAATTTGTTAATGATGACCTGTTGAGCTATTCTCTACCATTTATAATTATGGATTCCGCATTTATTTTAATTCATGGTTACAGTTGATATACTTATTCATGCAAATATTTGGTTTTATTACAAACACAATTTATCTACCACTATCCGAAATAAACTGTTGAACAATGATTTGTGGCTGATCATGAGGGCATACTTTTTTCATATTGTTTATAACAAAACTATACTTAATCATGTAATCAGCACCGGAAATTGTTTTGTATCAGATAAATGAGGACCAACAAAAAGAAAACACTGCTTACCTTCGATTTGTTGAGGAATATTGGGTCGAGTTTATGAATGTGAACTATTTTTTGTTTCTTATTCTGAACTGTTGGATGCTTACTCTTTAGCTATCTATCAATGAAACAAATAGTTCGAACTGTCTCAAGTTATTATTCAGTGCCTATAAGTCGAGATATTAGTCCCAATAATTTCAATTCCATTAATTCGATTACTCAAATGTTGAATACGCGGTATATGTCGACGATCGATCATCACATTCGTAGAAATGAAATAAAGAAAAAACCTTCGCAATATGTAATCAACTATGTCAGATGATGTCCGAGGGTTTCTTCATAACTATTCTAGACCAGTTTGTATTGTTGTGTTTTGTCATTTATTCATGAAAGCTAACATGCGATAAATGCACAAGTCAAATATTTTCCATCAGAAACATAATATACATATTCAAATCAGGCTATGATATAGGTAATTGGCGAATTTCAAAGGATTATCGATTTGACAATGTATACAGTAACTCTAATTTATGGAGTTATTTGTAGGCTATCTGGTATTGAAGTTATCCAGACTCTTTTATTTATTCGTCGTAAATTCGATATTCACCAAAATATATTTTTGGATTGCAAGGGCGATTCATCAGTTAGAAAAACGACAATAGAATAACATAATATACCAAGTGAGTAGCTCGACGCCCTAGAAGTGGTTCCGCATCCACTTTGAGCTGTAAGTCCCGCTCTTCCTAACCCTGCACAAGTTTCAATTTCTGGAGAGGTGGTTCCCAACTTCGAAGTATTGATATACGAGTTTGTCAATTTCAATTGCTCAGCAACAACAGTGAAAACACTATTCCTTGAAATAATGAAGAAAAAAATTATTAGTGTGCTGATGAATTACACATTTTACTCACACAAAATAAACAAAAAAAGTGAAATTTTTTTGACATTCATAGAAACAAATGCATTCATTCTACTAGCTCCAATATTAATTTTGTAATCGACGACCTATGACTAAATGATTTTTGATATCAGTTGAAGGTTTTTGAATGAATCAACTTCATCAATCGTGAATTATAAACATACTACTTGGAATACTGATTCTGTCTCATGTAGATCAGCGCCATGTAGCATTTAAATACGAATTGTTTAGTCACCCGAGCCAGAAAAATCATTGTATTAATTATTTTTCTTTGTCTGTTACAGAACTTCCTGCGGAAGAAGGTGAGTAACAAGTGAACCCAACTGGGCTCCAGATCCTTTGAGCAGAGGACCTCGAGGACAGTCACGTGGACCACCAATTATCCAGTGTACCGATGCAACTGAAATGTTTCAATATGGCAACATCGCTTTCACGTTGCAGAGATGATTGAATACATAAACATGTATTTCACACCGTTGTGTGATGTTCATTCATGATGTTTAAGATTCTTTTGACCATAAAGCCAACGCATAATGGCTCATGTGATTGTCATCATGTTCAACATTCCCGCAATGTTTTTTGTAACAATTATCATTCAATGAGCTTTTACGTGGCTGTAAATTTAATCCTCGAATATTAAAAAAACACATTGTCAAAATATTTCGATGGATAGGGACGGCAACACTGGTGATTGGTTCTGATGGTAAGAAATCTGCTCCCGTTCGCACTTCATGTTAACTTGCAAGTTGACAAATGTATAACAATGAATAATAATCTGGAATCTGAATCATTGTCTGGCTAGATAATTTATCTTCATTTTCTTGAAGGAAAGAAATCGAACTCGGAGGATGAGAAATGAATTCGAATTCAAATAGACGACATTTCTTATTTTTCGTGCAATAGCACGCGAAGAGAGTATTTCGCGTTTTCGACACAGTACGCGAAGTTAAATTTCGCAGCCGTTACCAATAACAACGGCCGCCAAACCGCCCAACCAACTTCACTTTCGAATTCGACTATTCTAAATAGCAAGGTTATTATCAGTGTCAGATCATGATCTTCGTTTTGTCAAGAACTGTCATAATATTTTGTATACGTTCAAATTTGTTATTTTCATACCAATGGAGTGATTTCGTTAATCAAATTGAACAGTTGTTGATTTTGGAGCAAAATATATTTATTTCTACGTCTATAACACAAAATTGCTCTTGATTTACTGTGTTACATCAATGAGGTACTTTGTATGTCATCAATTTTATTTCCGTATCTGATATCACTATGCCACCATCGTGTTATTATTTCAAAAAAATCTCATCGCACATGGAATGATTGCTGCATTCGCCTACGGCTCTTGCTGCAATCTCCATTCTCGTGGGAAATTACTTCAATTCAATAATGTTGACGATTGCACGAAAAATAGGGACCACAAGATTATCTTGTCACGGCTGCAAACGGCCTCGGAGATAACTTTTCTTTCAGCAGGCTAAAGAGATATTTCGCTGCTTAGTAGTATATAAATTACTATTTCAATATATTCCTCCACGTATCTCAATTTTCTTTAGCCTTCTGCACGAAATAAAAGAGGTGGACAAAATTGGTCAAAATGAAATAAATACAAAATCCTTTGAAAAGTTTTTGGTTATTTATGAAATGTGAGGTTTCGATTTGTGAATATAATAAACCATATTGTTGATGATATTCATGTTATACAAGGTTCGCCAATGAAATGGGACGATTTGAGATGGCGCTTGCAGCACTCTACCAAGTGGTGGGGATGGAAGTCACTGGCCTGTCAGGACCCGCATGACTTACCATTTATTTACAATGCATCATTTACCAAATTAACAATTGATGAATAAATAGGGCGCAAGCGCACATGCCCGAAATCTTACAAATTTGTGGCTTTCAATTTTCATAAGTAGCTAACCTAACATAGAATTTGAAAATATTTTCTGATCTGTAAAAGACTTCAGTTTCGTTTATCCACAATTATGTTCTTGACTGCCATTTTGTTTATGTTGTAACTATTTCAGGTTGATTTTCATCATCTGTCAGATACAAGGTCTGACGAGTCTCGTGCTTTTTCTTTCGATCAATGAAACCAATTCGCGGTCATCTTCGTACTAGTTGCATACTAGCAGAAAACTTGGTTCAATTGAAGTATGAAAGTTGAAAGTTGGCCAACTTCTTACTTGTAACTTGTTGATTGATACATGTTCAATGTCTGCATAAACATTATTATTGAAAATATAAAGTCAACTTATAATTGCTAATTGTTGAATAAATGAAAAATGTTACTTGATAATTGATATTGCTCTATAAATCCACCATTTTGCTTTTCATATCTTTCGAATCACTGCTTCTGGAGTGCCGAGAAGTTCCACAAATGGATCGGACACGTTGCGGTTTTGAACCGCATGGCTTTCAATCGATTAGAGGAAAACTTTCTCGTATTGAGAGTTGAGACACCAATATCGCATCGTCATGGAAAACAAAAGCCCGCTTATCGGCATATCATACAGACCTGTTGTGCCATCTTGTTAGGTGACATGCGTAAATATAGAATAGACGATATCTCGGAAACAATGCAAGTGTAGGAAAGGAAATTCGTTCTTATCACATCAGAAAATACATAAACAATTTTGATGCAGTACTTTAATTATCGCTTCAATATTGTGATTATTTCCACTGATTATCACTCTTAATATTGACAGTACCTGGAGTGGCATACTCTCGGGCATACTTGAACTAATTCGCATTATACCGAGCATTATACCAATACCAACCTATTATTAGCAGTAAAACATAGTAAGTGATAAACAACAAACAAGTATTGCATTCATTATACTGGGTGTAATAATATCATGATACTTCGCTTTTCTGCCTTCAGTTCTGACTGTAAATGAAAGTAGTTGATTTCTGTTGAATATTCAGAATTATATTATATGCATATCTTTATGTGAAGGAGAATGCAAATTCTCTTCTTCAGAAGATTTTGTTTTCAAATTCTTATCCTGTGTGTTTAATAGATGTAATTCAATATTCGTCGTGGCATATAGCCAGAAAAGTAGTTGTTCTCTGTTGAATAAACCGAGAAAGAATTAATAGTTTCATCACATGGAGAATGCGAATTCTCAATGTATTTCTTTATAATACAGGCTGACTGACAAAAAACGCTCCAAGCCATAGCGCCGCTATTTATTATCCGATTTTGAAAATCAAAAAAGCAAATGAAATGATATATCAGATACTACAAGGTGGCACTAACAATTTTTTTTTAAATTCCAACTCTAATATATCCTTTTTTTCTGTGTTCATAAATATATCTGAGAATGTTCCTTTTCAGAACTTATATGACTTTTATTGTTGATAAACTTAATTTTTTGTCATTTAAATGTTTTTAGCCTCATGTGAGTTTATTTTCTGATTTTCAAATGCATAATTTCGCATAATTTCCTGATCCATATAAGTAAAATATCAGGCATTAATATATTTTCAAAATTTCATTTTCAGTTTTTTATCAAGTATGTTATGACTGTTCCGATTTACTTTAATTGGTAGACATGATGTTATGGGCATCATTTTGAACAATAATTGTATTTTTTTGTATTCCTAAGCCACCATATACAAGATGATTATTATAATTGTATTTTTAATCAGTTGTAATTCTAGGCACATTTTAATATTGCATGTTATTAATACATTCTGCACTATTAGTAGGTACTAATTAATGGTACCATGTTTCATTTGCTAATAGACCATACAATTTGGATTCAAATATTTTTAAGCATTACACTGGTCAATTAGCTTAATAAATCTAGATAATCATGGCACGCTTAGATAAAATCCTGAAAATGAAATTGAAATGTACACTTATGTTTTAAGTGTCATTTATGTGGTATAATTTCATTCTGAAAACTATTTAGAATTCAGTGCAATGATATAAGTACAGGAAATTCTATTTCAATATGCTGTAAGTAAAACTGGAAGTATTTTTATCGAAAAGTGACGTTTATCGAGTTTAAAACTAGGGCTACAATATTAGGATCTAGACCAGTTTACCACAGTATTAATGTTGATAGTTTTCCAAATACAGTGCTTCATAATTATTATATATCGAAATTTTTGGCTTATACGTATCTTAATAATAGTATGATTCGTACGAAATTTTGACGAAGGATAAGAAATCTAAATAGAGTTTCAGGAATGAGAATTTTCAACTAAATTTAGTATACCAAACTCTCTTGTGTTATTCCATTCTTCAAATCATTTTCATGATTTTGATGCTGATTGATGACATATCTGTCAGTCTAATTCTATGATTTGATTTTGAAAAATTGCAAATTTAGGGGTTGTTCAGTACTTTACGTAACCGTGAAGTCGAATGGAAGATTAAAGGACTTGCAGTTCTTCCCCGGAGACGGTGTTATTGGCTTATTTTTTGGAACTATAGCTCAACAAAATCCATGAACAATGTATATATTATACATATATATAACTGGGGAAAAAGTACTCACATTTTTTCAACGCGGGAAAAAATTAATTCATGAAAAGTGTAATTTTCTAACCTGTCAACTAGATGAATGAAATTCCAAACATTCTCGTCACAGAAAAAATTCTTTTTTCTACGAACGTCAAAAAATGACAAGGTTCGCACATTGATAACAAATTGCGAAGTGACACTTTTTTTCAGTTTCCTACGTTACCATGATACCTTGCACAAAACAATGCGCGAAGTAAAACAGTGCGCGAAGTACCTATTTCGCGCATTGTTATGTAAACTATATGAGATATTTATATTTCATCTTTTTGGTCCTTAATCGAGCAAACATTCACGGAATCATTTATTTTTTAATGTTCAATAATAATTTCGTTTTATCTTTTGGAGCGCACGAAAGGAAATTCCTATTATGTTCGTGGAACATCGTGCGTATCTAGGAAGGATAGGAGGAGGCCTTTCAATAGCCAGTTCAACACTATTTTTTATATCAAGCTATGCATATTTTTACTTTAAAACTATATTTTTTGACGTTTTGTATAAAAAATTTTGTTTGCAACTCGAGCGCGAAATACTTTGGTCATCTCGACTATTTTTTTAACTCGGCTACGCCTCGTTAAAAAAATCAGATATCGATCACCAAAGTGGCATTTCGCACTCTAGTTACAAAAATAACTATTTTTATCACGCAGCAGACTTGAAATCGATTTATCTCGCAAATGGTGAGTGCTATCGAAACTAAACAAGAGTAACATTTTTAAATAAAAATGATGATATTTTCATATTTCCAGATCAAACTGCCGA